GTGACCCAGCTTATCATTACAACATCTGAGACTAATCTTCACTATGAAGAACTTTGAACTAACATCTAAACGTCCTTACCGAATTTGTAGCCATCAACATAATATGTCATATTATGATGTCAAAAGTCACTAAAGTGCATATTACCCGTCGTTACTTCTTGAAGCTTGAAACGATTACAATGTCCATTATCAGGCAGATATGGAAAAATGGAGCATAACCGACTACCGCCAAGATCCGTGGCCCTTGAAGTTATAAGTGATGTACTAATTAGTCGAAGTGCCTGGAAGCCTTGATTGCTAACATAAATGCATTAAATGTGTTCAGAGAAATTACCACTTGAGGCAGTAGTAATATAATTAGAGGAGATTCTAATGAAACATCCTACAGGGTCTATTGATCTTGACCGAAACTCTTAGCAAGTCCTGATGAGCCTTCTGTCCATGAATCCATAACGGACAGATGAACCATTAATAACGTATGTCCTAGACGTTTTGGCACAAAATATTTAGCGGATTTTTTTTAATTAAGACATTTATTTAAATACTAGTTATCATTAATTACAACACACTACTTAACTAAGCTATACTATCGAACTATATGGATTCGCCCATTCTGCTCTACCAGGAACAATCTACAAGAGGAAGCTTTTTCCAGTTCTATTAACCTTAGGCAGTTCAAAAATCGTATTAACAAAATTTCTTTGGGATCATCATAGCAGCCGCGGTGTTCCGGCATTTAAACTTCTGCCTGCGCGGCTGCTTCGATACAAAAAAAAAACTTGTTATTCCCTGCTCGCACTCCGCTATTGGTCGATAAATGTAGATAATTTCTAATTTATACGACATCTTAAAGCGAAAACTTCAAAATAAATAAATGTCAACTGACAGTAAAGTAATTAAACAAACGTTTGCTCCCAAAGGCAACATATTATTTTGTGTTTGTTAAAATTATAGCCATTGAATGTTGTGCCAAAACTTTTAGGACGTTACAAATATCTATGAAAAACAGGCCAGTATCAAATGTGATAAGTGGTAAATAAAGTCACTGGAGAAACAAGTTCCAAAAACTTAATTGAAATCGGAATTTAAATGCTCGGTTAACCTCGAAGACTAATTTCCCTCCAGGTAAGGGCTGCTACAGACTCATCTCATAATCTTAGTTCGCTTAGCCTTTTACGAAAGGTAAATTACATCTACTAAATACCACTCACCAACAGTGATTGATATAACAAATTTTCATGAATTATAGTGCTAATCCCATCACTAGCACAGTTCTTTTTAGTAGCTTTTGTGAGTTTTTAACAGGATATAATTAATGAACCTAATAACTTCAGTAGCAAAAAATCATTACACTGAGTACCTTAAAAGCATTTATGTATTAAGAGCCTGGTAATTGTTTTAAATTTTCTTGGAAGATTTTTTCACGAACCACCGAGCTCATTTATAGTCTGAAGAGGAAAAAATAGTTTCTCAAAAAGAGTTAGTCCAAGAAACAATGTAAATACAAAAACATTTTCAAAATACATGCTAACTCCAAGAAGATATATGTAGATATTTTACAGCCGTTTATTCTTAGGTATAGACGTTCGTAAAAATGCATACTTTTGAATTCGAAGCAAAATAATATGATCAAGTGATATAAAAACTGCTTTGAGCAAAGTAAAATAGTGGTTAAACATAACTAATTTGTCGGATTTACAATAATCGACAAAATCGTAAACAACTTGGAAAAAGCAAAACTAGACATTTATTATCAAGGATTTCAGAGCAGTAATAAATTGAATTTGGACACATGATAAATTGTGACTCAACAAGCCCAAAAATAGCATAAAGCGAATTACCTCGTTTTTTCTGTGAAATGCGCTTATACAGGGTGGCCAATATATACCTGACTGATTTAAATTGCGCGCCTTTTTTTATACACGCATTCCAGTAGTAGATGTTCAAAGCACATGTGTCCAATTCATCATGGAGCGCTACACGATCGCACAACGCGTCCGTATTGTTAAAACTTTTTACTTTAATAATACGCCCATTCGTCGGATAGTGCAAAAATTTGAAGAAACAGCTTAAAGACTTGCCAAGGTCGGTCCGTGTTCGAACTGTTCGTACTCCGGAAAACATCGAAAGAGTTTGTGACAGTATGTTGGAGCGCCCTGAGACGTCTACCAGACATCGTTCTCAAGAACTGGATATTCGTCGTACCCAGCCCACTTCGAAATGAACGGATTTGTTAATAAGCAGGATTGTCGCATCTGGGCATTAAAGAACACTCGTCTCATCAATCAACGACCACCACATCCTCGTCGATTCACAGTTTGGTGCGGTGCTTGGTATGGACGTGTCATTTAACCTTACTTCTTCTATAGACGCTGTAGGTAATTCTCTTACTATTACTCGCCAGCGCTACCGTGATATGGTGCAACACTTTCTGACTCGTCAAATCCAAAAATTTAACCTGCAAAACATGTGGTTCCAGTCTAATTTCTCGATTTGGTGCTGTCCACTTGCCACCACGCTCACCGGATTTAACGGCTTCTGACTTTTTTATAGGGATGTTTGCAAAATTAGGTTTATACCAACAAACCAAATACTGCAGAGCAGCTGAAGAACTAAATTACGGAAGGGATTGAAAATACTCCTCCCGAAACCTACCAAAAGTTTCAATCAAAGATTAAAATGGATGTATTTTATTTCGTTTCACATATATTCAAGATACAGTCACATATCGGCGACCCTGTATAAAATGTAGGATAGGCATAAATTTGTGAAAACGCCCGATAAGGATTGTACATGGTGCTTTTGGATGGCCCGAAAGGATTTTAGTCTAAACAGACGACATTTCGCTAGGTATGGAAGTGAAACCTTGCAAGGGTGAAAAGCCTCTGACAGATCCGGCAACTGGAAGGGAGCTTGACTGTGGGAGTGGCCCTTTCAGGCAAGACTGTCCCTCTGGTAGTTATTGCCATCAAACTGCTAGATTTTCACGATGCTGTCGTAAAGGTAACTAACGCTAGTAACGTTTAATCTAACTAACCTTAAGTAGCTTTAGGTATTGGTGTATGGACCTTTTGTGGTAGCGCGTTGTACAGTCGATAACAAAAACAATTGCGAGACGTGCTGTCGTTGTCATTATTGGAAAAAATGGCGACCACAAACCACTGTTGTCAGACCACGTGTCTGAAATGTTGGTTTGGCACTAAACATGACTCAATTATTGTTTTACTACCGATAGCACAATTATTTTTGAAAAGCTCGTATATAGTCGTATATACTATAATTCACCTTGATACAATGTATAAGGTAATGTGTCTTTAAGGTGATTCCATTTTGCAAGTAGCACATAACCATTTTCCAAATAAATATAGAAATAAAAGGGTACTATAACAGTTTTGCAATAGGAGCAGGAAGGCTGCATGTTACTCCATGTTGAGACATGTCCATGAGTGCATAGTAGCCGTCAGCAGCATTCATATTCACGAGTGTATAAAGTGGACTATGGCATCATGGTCACGTAGTGAGATACAGGCAGCTTTACGGTATAACTTTACGCGTGGTTTAAGCATAGACCAGTGATTAAAGAATGATCGTCCTCATCGTACAACTATTATGTATCCATCGAATAAAGAGACCAAACCTAAACATATTCACGTTTACTCCACATGATCGCGCTCCAAAACGCCGGTTATATTTATTTTTATTCGTCTTGACAATTTGTAACAATTCTGCCTTAACCGTTGAATCATCATAATCAATCTTTTTTATTTTTAAGCCATCCTTGAATTTCTGATTCTTTTTTAGTTGAAGGTGGCGCTGGCTAAACCTATTCTGCCCAATAACAGTTATGCTCCCTCTCTCTTCAAATATATCAGCGTACTGATCACGCAATGATCACTGTTTTGGTTTAGTCTCTTTCTTCGATACATACATAATATATGCAGGGGGTACAGAGAAAAAGGAAGGCCGCGAACGTCAGTAGCAGAGAAAAACATAACTGCTGTGAGGAAAATGCTTGATGAAGATCGGAAAATAAAATACCAACAGATAGGGAGACCTTACACCTTCATGCACCAGCAATTCATCCAATTCTGCATGACCATTTACTCGCAAAGAAACTTGGTTCACTCTGGGTACCGCATAGTCTGACGGAAGAGCAGAAGACGTCGTACGACTTGGTGCCAAAGGAAGCTGATAATGTTTGATTAGGGACAATCTCGGTTTAGGACTGTTTTGGACAAATGGACAAGTGTATTGAATATGGTGGTAATTACTTTGGACTAAGTCAATAAACAAAACTGTATTGCAAAACTTTCATAGAACCACTTCTGTTTCATGAATCTTTCATTCGACTATTGAACAAAAAGTATTGTTGTTAAGTGTTTTTTATCAGATGATATGCTTGACGTATAACGACACAGACAGATAATAAAAAGTTTATGCAATCGGATCAAGAATAAAAAGTTACTTCACACCATACAATCTCTACGTGTACGAGTATTTCATTATAGTGAAAAAGAGGCAAAGTGCTAAACCTGGAAGATGGCTGAGAAACTGAAAATTAACGCACCGCCTAAGTACAAGTGATTAAAGGTAGAGTTGGGGGTGCCCTATCACAAGTCCCAATCTGAATACTTACAAAATACATACACTATGTGCATAAACTTATAGACGCCCTGTATCCCAGTATTGCAATTTATTATCCCCGAAGGGGTAGAATACAGTCCGACAGATAAATCAAGATAGGAGCTTCCTCGGATAACTTAGTAGAGGATGAAATACAACAGCTATCGAACAGCTCACATTCAGTATAGCCTTTGTTTTGGATTTTGCCGGAAAATAGTGAATATTGTATCCAACTGGCCTGATTTGATTTCTCTTTGATCAGTTTAATAGCTATAGCTTCATGCATATATGATGATTCCATAAAGATTGTTGTCTCTCGACCCATTACGAGAATATCATACGCTTACAATAACCAGCCCCCGTCTTTTAATTTGTAGATCAGAACTTCATCGAAAAGAAGAGTTGTGAAGACAGCTGGTACGGTTGCTGCCCAGATGGTAAAAACCCTGCGCAAGGGCCAAACTTTGCCGGCTGCCCTTCGCAATGTGGCTGCAATAAGTTGGGATCCTACTCGGAAACATGCGATCCAGAGACGCAGCAATGCAAATGCAGGCCCGGCGTAGGTGGAGCTAAGTGCGATAGATGCGAATCTGGATTCTGGGGATTGCCTAAGATCTCTTCCGGGTATCGAGGGTGTATACGTAAGTATTTTGGGAATATGGCCTTCGTATGTTTATTCTTCCTTCTGGAATTTAGGAGATTGTAATTTTACTCCATAGAAGCGAGTTTAGTTGACGTTACCCCTAAGTATTTAAATGTGTTGCAACTTTTGGCAAAGGCATTCCCAATAACTAGGTCATCAGCTTCGTCAGTTCCTACCACCATATATTCTGCATATTTATCGTCAGATCCCACTTATTGTATTCCCCCTGTAACTAGAATCCTCCTGGTCTCCTGCTATCAGTACCTGGTCGGCAAATAACAGCGTGTATATCAGTATGTCCCGAATTGGCAATCCAATGCTGCTCACTTCTTCTTCCAAGATTTTAAAGAGCAGCGGGGAGAGCGAGCAACCTTGTCTTAAGCCTTTTGTGACAGGGAATTTTTCTGAGAGGGTTCTTACAATTTTGACGGTACTAGTTGTATTGTTGTATAAGATTTTCACGGCATTTACATAGACTTTACTGATACCACTCTCTTGCATGCATGGCCACAACTTACATAATGGCACACATCTTCTCAGGGGTTGAAAACTCTAGGCATGTGTGGAGAATGACCCCATGCGTAAGTCATTCTATTGTAGAAGTACGCATAGTAACTGGTAAGCAATGCTTTCTGAGACCGAATTTCTCAGATTCCCTCTAGCTTTTGTCAAAGATGTTGTAGCATGGTTTACATGCTCGTCCCAAGTCAACGAAGAATACACGTACACCCCGAGAAACTTTACTATTCTTGTGTTGTTATCATTTGTATGAAAATTCTGTACAGAAATAATAACAAACCAGTTCTGTCCCTCCTGCATGCTGATGATTCGTTTTCTATGTTTTCTAAGGTGCTGTGAGTTGATAGAAGTGTCGTCGGCAATACAGGAATGGTTTGCTACTAGTACCGTTACCGAGACAATTTTGTATGTCATTTATGCATGGCAAGAATACCAATAGTCCAAGTACAGATCCTTGAGGTACCCCGTGCAAAATTGTGGTGACAGTAGATCTGTAATTTTCTTTACAAGCTCCGTGTGAAAGAGCAAAGCTCTTTCCGACAATCGGAACAAGTCCCTGAGAATTTTCGGAGGTAATGCATTTTTAAACCGGGAGCAGAATTACAGCTGCCGTAACACCTCGTGAAGCGAATGACCAAAACTTCAACAATTTGTCGAAGTTCCAGAAAATGCATTTTCTAATAGGTGTCACTAACAGGAACTTTTCGATTACTTCAGAAAAAAGAAGTTTCTCAATTCAGCTGTCGGAAGTTTTTTTTAGCAGAAATATATTCCCAGCTCCGCCGGCAACCGCGGTGTGTTGTTACGTTTCACTGAACATTTGGAAAACTTCGCCTTCCTGAGGTTTGCATAAAATGCGATACGATACACAGTTTCCAGCCAAAGATGCGAATAAATGAAACAGAGATGTGGCACTTTTATTCTTTCTCCGCTGGCACGTCAGCGTTTCTCAAAGATTATCCGGCAGAACTTACGGATCAACTGAAAAGTCCTCGATATTGAAGTACTAGTGGATTTAAGTGTGAATGTATGTCCAGTCTATCACGTCTGATCCACAACACGGAGAAACGTAAAAAGTTGAGCGCTTACTAATTGAAACCCGAGAAAGGTTATAGGCATGGTTTTGTCCATAAAAATATACAGGGTGTTCAAAAAGTCTGAAATCATAAAAATATCCACAAAATACGCTTCATAGAAAATGATGCAGAACAAGGTCGTACAGTTTGAAAATATTCATCCATTGATAATGACTTTGAAGTTGAGTCATTAATTTTCAGATAATGATTGTAGAAGGAAGTTAAACCAAAATATGTGTGTAAAAATAAAAAAAAATGTTACCTTGTTTTATAAAGTATCCTCCTGACAAGTATTTCAGTGCAGACAAACACCACTATTCACTCACGCGTTACCGACTGACACATTGACTGAATACAACTGAATAAAATTGTAGTAAAAACATCGTGATAAGCGTTTCAATTCTTTCGCTTTTTTGTTTCCGATGCGATGAACCGATAAGGCGGATTATATCCGTTGTTGCCAAACACGAGCAAATAATATTATTATTATATATTTCTACAACACTCACTTTGAAAATAGTTTTTCAATACTTCACACATTTGTTCAAGACTAAAACGATCCATTGTTCACAGCGGAACTTTGATACAATATATCTGTCAGTATGTTGAGCATGGAAGTGTTACCAACTGTCAAAATAATACCAACTTAAAAAAAACTGATGGCCCACCATTTATTTGAGGGTATCCAGGAAACAGACACAATATCTCGAAAATTATATGTAATTGAGAACAATTTTGTACAACGAAGTTTTGAAAAAATTCACCGAATGGTGACCTTCTAGCTCATTTGAAGACCAAAACAGTTTTATTAAATGAAAGCCACTATTTTTTGATACCAGAAATGAATATTAGGTTGAAATATACCCATGACCTTGGCTGCGACCATCAAGGTCATATGAAGATCAAATTAATTTTTAACTTGGAACATTCGTTATTAATTCATGAAATACAAATTGTGGACAATTTTAAGTTTCAAATACATACAAATCAACCTGACCATGACCATCAAGATCATTTTAAGATCAGAAAACTTTCAAGTAAATCCTTTACTTTTTGTCGAGGATATAAAAGATGCAGTCCTACAAACTATTGTATTACTTTGAATATTGTATATCTTTCTCCAAAACCAGTATCCGTCATACGAATACGAAGCGAATGATATGTACTTTACACTACTTCCACTGCAGGGTTAGTCTGGTATTGTACACTACTCAAAAAAATTAAGGGAGCAAGAAAAAAATTCTAATGTTTAAGTGATCTTTGACAAGCTTTACGATTTTAGTTTTCAGTTCCTTAGTCACAAAATTTTAGAAGCAACTGTTCTCATACAAATCTAACAGTTAGTGCAAGAAAAAAATTGTCAATATTAAGATTTTAAAAGAGTCAATAGAAGTCACTTTGCCTTGCCTAAGGAGAAGGCTTTAGGTTTTTTCATACCTCGATGTCATTTGGAAAAAGTTTTATTACTTTATTCATGGAATATTCCAAAAAGCAAAAATACTGACCAGGGAAAATATTGTTTGTGGGGTCTCAAAGGTGGATTTAGGAATTTGTCGTTTGTTTATTTTTTTATATTTCGTATTTTTGAAGCAGTGGCCTGTATGACTTAAAGGAAACTACAGAGCTGAAGCTTGTGTTAAAATGAAAGATATTGGCGTCGTTGGAAAAAAATAAAATTTCGAATCCTTTCCAGCCTGCGGATGTTCCGTGTTTGGATCTGTCAGAGATGACTGTGAACAAATGACAGGCAGATGTGTTTGCAGACCAGGCGTACAAGGTCAAAAATGTACAGTCTGTACGAGCCATAACAAAATTCTTGGACCCAACGGATGCGTGTCAGGTAAAGTTGATATGTTATTTTATTTCAAATTTGCATGTGATTTATGTCTATATCTTTTATATGTGAAAACTAACATTACACATATCAATCATCATATGGAGATTAAACGGCAACATTGTTATATACGGCCTACCAAAGAGTCTTCTATACTTAAGAAACACCCTGTGGATACTCGGACTTGAACGTTAGAAATACTTTTGCATTCGTGACGTAGAAACTCAAAACATTCATGAATCTACAGCAGAAGACAATAAGATCATGTTATTTAATTATCACACATAACATTGAAGTATACAGGGTGTTTGAAAAATAGAATGATTTCTGGTTAAAAAATATGTAAACAAGTTTCTTCAGACATGGGTCCGGAAATGCAGAGTCTTCAAGATACAGAGTGATAAGTTTAGAAAAAATCTTTTTTCAATATCTTAAACAATATTTACTCGTTTCTGTTTAAATTTGGCAATATTATTCAGCCCTAAATAGATTAAAATGATTAAAATTATTAGGTCCCGGGGGGCACCTTAGCGAATATCATTGGAAATAAATGTACGCCACTGCCTTTTTGTAACTATAATATTTGTTTGATTAAGCATCTAAAAATACAACTTCTTAGCCTATTGTATTTTTTTGTGTCTCACTTCGTTTTCGAGGAAAAAAAATAAAAACCGTTTTATTGCATGTCACTGGACAAAATTGGTTTATTAATTTTTGCTACAAAAATCACAAGTGCTTTGGAGAACTAAAAATATTTTCTGCATGGAGGTTAATACAACAAATGATATTGCCAAACTTCAACAAAACCAAATAAATATTTTCAAGACATTAATATTTTTTTTTAAAATATCTCCGTCTATTTTTCGAACACCCTGTATAATCGCAAAAGGCGTCCAACAAAATCTGCCATCTGATTTTTTTGTTGATTCTTGATATGGCAGCCCAAAAAAAGCTAGAGAGAAAAGGAAATCATTGGAAAACTTGATGAATACGTTTGGGAATATATCCTGTTTATCGGTCAACTCGAAGCGGCGTGGTAAAGTTGGAATGTACTCGAAAACTCTTTTTTGGTCACTCAGTATACAGGGTGTCCACAAAGTTGGGGTTTTCCTTTTCAGAAACAACTACCCTTGAAATAACAAAGGTAATGTGTAGTGAAACGAGGGCGACCAAGTAAAAAACACTCTCCAGTTGACGAGAAGGGCTAAGTACGTCTCTGCCCGAAATCATACCGCTCCAACAGAAAATGAAATCAGCTGATGCGCTACCGAGCAGACGCAGGCAAACAAGGAAGGCAAAATGTTGCGTAAAAAGTCTAGGTATTGCATCCCGTCCAATCGATTTGGGAGAATAAATGGTCCAATGAGCATACCGTTCACCATGCCAGCCCAAACATTCACCGAAAATGTTTGTTGACAATGTGCCCGACGGACAGCGTGCGGATTTTCTACTGACCAAACATGAGTGTTGCGAAAGTTATTCACCCCATTACGCGTGAACGTAGATTCGTCTGTCACCAATATGCACTTCAAAAAGTCCGGATTATTGTCATGTTGATGCAACAACCACTCACAAAACCACACTCTTGCTGGAAAATCGTCAGGTTGAAGGGCTTGTACACGTTGGACGTGATCCGGATACAGCCCCTCTTTCACGCAGCGTTTGCCACACTTTAGTTTTTGATACTTGCAGTTCTCTAGCCACGTCTCTAGTGCTTGTTGAGGGATTCTCGTCTACGCGATTACCTCTACACGCGTGACCGTAACCGTCGGTTGAAGGTTGCATACTGACCTGACACACTGACCCCGACCCAGTTCTGTCGTCGGGTTGAGCTAGTGTCCTAGTACCAGTCGGGGATGTCGCGGCTACAGGACGGTATTCAGATATTTTTGATGTTGCAGAGCCCTTTATCTCGGTTCCCTTAAGACATTGGTGTATATGGTACTAAGAAAAATTGCTCATGTTTTCAAGATGTACACGTCGTGTAAAGGAAAATCCCAACTTTGCGGACACCCGTAAAGGAAAACCCCACCTTTGCGGACACCCTGTATATTAATATTAGTCCAAGTCGGATAATTCTGCACACCTTGCACATATTTCACACCTCATAGGTTTGCCCGAACATTTGCTGAATCTGGGGATCTTTTTTCATGAAAAGCCCAAATAGTGCATTGCTGATTCTGGAAAAAAAACTATGTCTTTTTTATGTCAATGCACTACATCACAAATTGCAACAGAAGTTGCTTAGATCTACCTGACTCCATTGTTTGTGCAGTTAGCAACAAAATCTGCTTTTATGCTCAGTTGTAGAATTTTCCCGATACGTCTATAGGTTATGTATATATATCACGGTTTTCTGTACAGTATAAAGTTTATATAGTGTAGAGATTATCGTATAGAATATTGATACTTTTCGGTCCGAACCTGTTATTGCGATATCGAGTTTTGTTATATTAATGCCCACGCAATATAACAACTTTTGTTCCGTATAATAAATGAAACAATCCAGTCAATTGAACTTTTTATTCATTCGAAATCGCATATCACACACAGCGAAGTATTTGGAGCATCAGTTAGATAGCTTGCCACATTCTATCAGCTTTTGAGCCTCATTCTGAAACAGAAAGATAATGCAGTCATTCATAAATGTTTATTAACAGCCACCGTAATCTTTATAGGCATCACACAAGGAGTGAGATCAGTTCAGGAGCAATAATTGTTTACGTTGACTTTGAATTTAAGATCGTATCGTTAGATATTCCTACAATCGTAGAACGCCTTCATGGCCTTCTTGATTTTCATAGTTTTTTCTTACCTTACAGGCACTCTATTTTGAGGTTATGTTACAAATATCTATTTGCATCAAATTTTTCATGCTTTCGATTTTTATCATCTGTGATATCAGCCTAAAATTTCTTACAATTCAAAAAGAAAACATGATGAGGTGGGCGCAGACGCTGACAAGAAACAGTAGAAATCTAGAAATACCCCAGCCTTCTTAAGGAGATAAAATACTATGAAAATCAAGGAGGCCATACATGCGTCCTACAATTGTCGCTCGCTTCCATGGCCTACTTGATTTTCATAGTTCCTCCTGTCCTTTAGAAAGGTTATATTTTCTTTTTGAATTCGACGTAATTTCTGGATGATAATACTTGATTTTCAACATCTGTGTTATCAGCCTGAATCTTAAGATTCAAAACGAAAACATAACCTCACAATAAAAGAGCGCTGACACTGACACGGAACAGTAGAAACCCAGAAATACCCCAGCCCTGCTGAAGGAGCGGAAAGACTATGAAAATCAAGGAGGCCATAAATGCGTCCTACAATTGTCGATCGCTTCTATGGCCTCCTTGATTTTCATAGTTCCTCCTGTCCTTTAGAAAGGTTATATTTTCTTTTTGAATTCGAAGTAATTTCTGGATGATAATACTTGATTTTCAACATCTGTGTTATCAGCCTGAATCTTAAGATTCAAAACGAAAACATAACCTCACAATAAAAGAACGCTGACACTGACACGGAACAGTAGAAACCCAGAAATACCCCAGCCCTGTTGAAGGAGCGGAAAGACTATGAAAATCAAGGAGGCCATAAATGCGTCCTACAATTGTCGATCGCTTCTATGGCGTCCTTGATTTTCATAGTTCCTCCTGTCCTTTAGAAAGGTTATATTTTCTTTTTGAATTGGAAGTAATTTCTGGATGATAATACTTGATTTTCAACATCTGTGTTATCAGCCTGAATCTTAAGATTCAAAACGAAAACATAACCTCACAATAAAAGAACGCTGACACTGACACGGAACAGTAGAAACCCAGAAATACCCCAGCCCTGTTGAAGGAGCGGAAAGACTATGAAAATCAAGGAGGCCATAAAGGCGTGCTACAATTGTAGGAAAGGCTGACTATACGGCCATATTTTTTTAACTAGGTACATCTATAATATACTCAAACACCATTTCAAGTACCTACTTATTATTATAACAACCTAGCAAACTGATTTTCCAACGTAAATGTGTCAGTTGAAAATGCCAAGATGGTGGCTAAGCGCATCTTGGTATATCGTTATGAATAAAATAGACGGATATTCTCTAATGCGATGCCTCATTCTAAAGCTTCTTACCAGTAATTCATAACCCTAGAATACTTAAAAATGACTCATAGGAAGGTACTAATGAGGACCTCAAAAATGAAGAATCACATGACCTCAGTTTTATTTGAGAAATAATATTCTCGAAGTATTCAGCTTGCCAGCTTGACCCCTTCATATAATAAGTAGACGAAGGACCTTTTTAAAAAGCACTGTACTGTAAATTAAGTGACAAGTCGATTTTTTTTATTCAAATCTAATTACAATTGTTTGCCGGTCCCGTTTTTCGAAAATTATCAATGGAACTTAAAGATTTTATTATTAGTAAATCTTATTAAGTTGTCAGTACGTTATTTGCATCACTATTGTTTCTTTGCAATAAATCTGTTCGTTACTTATTTGAGATGTGCTAGGGTGTTATAAACATCAGATACAAAATTCCTTGCTACTTACCTGTATAATCTTGTATATAAGCATGATGGTGTCGATATTTTCTTTGCAGTTAGGCTCATTATCGCCGTTCAGCGCTCTCTTTCCCCAGTTTGGCGAAAAGTTCACTTGGGCGACACAAAAACCAATCAGGGAGATGATAACGGCGGCCACAATGACACGATACATAATCTCGGTTGCCTTTCTAATTTTCTGATTGCTGAAGCTGCTGCGGATGCAGATTGGAGAGATGCTCCGAAAAGAGTGAGTGTATTGGAAACGCGGGGTGAAACTTTTATATTACACCCGCTCCTGCGATTTGCAGCTCCACCTAAACCCACGTTCAATCAGGGTAATCGAAGAAGCCCCTTTTGTAAATAAAGAAACGTTATTAATTTTGAGCTACCGCGTTCCGTTGGACGATGTTGGCGGATTTCTTGTTTTGCAAGGCAATCTGGATTTTCTGGCGATGCGCAAAAAGCCTTGCTTTATTGTTCGCACAAAAAATTGATGTTTGCCGAGGCAACAAAATGTCAGGACGCCGCAAAAAAATTGTTCTGTGTTCATGTTCGATAATGTTTATTTACTTACAGACAAGACGTCCGATCTTGACTCAGTTCACGAGTAGCTCCACTTCAGTTGGCTTCCTTTTTCCCAAAAAAAAATCTAATAATGTCGCGGTAATGCACCCACGATTTTCTCGGGAAATTCATTAAAATGTATAAAACTTTTCCGTGTTTGTGGCAAGTGAAGAATAAAGACTATAGTGACCGTAATGAAAAAACGTCACGTTATGATAATCTTATAAAAAATACAAAGAAATAGACCCGATGGTAAATAAAGAGACAAAAAAAATAAACTTCTCGAATCGAAATGAAATTCAAGGTCGGATTGAAAAAGCAGAAAAGCATCATTTTGCGCACAAAGCGAAACGTGTACACTCATATTCAGACAAGACGTCCGATCTTGACTCAGTTCACGAGTAGCTCCACTTCAGTTGGCTTCCTTTTTCCCAAAAAAAAGTAATAATGTCGCGGTAATGCACCCACGATTTTCTCGGGAAATTCATTAAAATGTATAAAAGTTTTCCATGTTTGTGGCAAGAGAAAAATAAAGACTATAGTGACCGTAATGAAAAAACGTCGCGTTATGATAATCTTATAAAAAAATACAATGAAATAGACCCGATGGCAAATAAAGAGACAAAAAAATAAACTTCTCGAATCGAAATGAAATTCAAGGTCGGATTGAAAAAGCAGAAAAGCATCATTTTGCGCACAAAGCGAAACGTGTACACTCATATTCAGACAAGACGTCCGATCTTGACTCAGTTCACGAGTAGCTCCACTTCAGTTGGCTTCCTTTTTCCCAAAACAAACTAATAATGTCGCGGCAATGCACCCACGATTTTCTCGGGAAATTCATTAAAATGTATAAAACTTTTCCGTGTTTGTGGCAAGTGAAGAATAAAGACTATAGTGACCGTAATGAAAAAACGTCACGTTATGATAATCTTATAAAAAATACAAAGAAATAGACCCGATGGTAAATAAAGAGACAAAAAAAATAAACTTCTCGAATCGAAATGAAATTCAAGGTCAGATTGAAAAAGCAGAAAAGTATCATTTTGCGGACAAAGCGAAACGTGTACACTCATATTCAGACAAGACGTCCGATCTTGACTCAGTTCACGAGTAGCTCCACTTCAGTTGGCTTCCTTTTTCCCAAAAAAAACTAATAATGTCGCGGCAATGCACCCACGATTTTCACGGGAAATTCATTAAAATGTATAAAACTTTTCCGTGTTTGTGGCAAGTGAAAAATAAAGACTATAGTGACCGTAATGAAAAAAGTCGCGTTATGATAATCTTATAAAAAAATACAATGAAATAGACCCGATGGCAAATAAAGAGACAAAAAAATAAACTTCTCGAATCGAAATGAAATTCAAGGTCAGATTGAAAAAGCAGAAAAGTATCATTTTGCGGACAAAGCGAAACGTGTACACTCATATTCAGACAAGACGTCCGATCTTGACTCAGTTCACGAGTAGCTCCACTTCAGTTGGCTTCCTTTTTCCCAAAAAAAAAGTAATAATGTCGCGGTAATGCACCCAAGATTTTCTCGGGAAATTCATTAAAATGTATAAAAGTTTTCCGTGTTTGTGGCAAGTGAAAAATAAAGACTATAATGACCGTAATGAAAAAACGTCGCGTTATGATAATCGTATAAAAAAATACAAATAAATAGACCCGATGGCAAATAAAGAGACAAAAAAATAAACTTCTCGAATCGAAATGAAATTCAAGGTCAGATTGAAAAAGCAGAAAAGCATCATTTTGCGGACAAAGCGAAACGTGTACACTCATATTCAGACAAGACGTCCGATCTTGGCTCAGTTCACGAGTAGCTCCACTTCAGTTGGCTTCCTTTTTCCAAAAAAAAAAAAAGTAATAATGTCGCGGTAATGCACCCACGGTTTTCTCGGGAAATTCATTAAAATGTATAAAACTTTTCCGTGTTTGTGGCAAGTGAAAAATAAAGACTATAGTGACCGTAATGAAAAAAGTCGCGTTATGATAATCTTATAAAAAAATACAATGAAATAGACCCGATGGCAAATAAAGAGACAAAAAAATAAACTTCTCGAATCGAAATGAAATTCAAGGTCGGATTGAAAAAGCAGAAAAGCATCATTTTGCGCACAAAGCGAAACGTGTACCTCATATTCAGACAAGACGTCCGATCTTGACTCAGTTCACGAGTAGCTCCACTTCAGTTGGCTTCCTTTTTCCCAAAAAAAACTAATAATGTCACGGCAATGCACCCACGATTTTCTCGGGAAATTCATTAAAATGTATAAAAGTTTTCCGTGTTTGTGGCAAGTGAAAAATAAAGACTATAGTGACCGTAATGAAAAAACGTCGCGTTATGATAATCTTATAAAAAATACAAAGAAATAGACCCGATGGCAAATAAAGAGACAAAAAAAATAAACTTCTCGAATCGAAATGAAATTCAAGGTCAGATTGAAAAAGCAAAAAAGCATCATTTTGCGCACAAAGCGAAACGTGTACACTCATATTCAGACAAGACGTCCGATCTTGACTCAGTTCACGAGTAGCTCCACTTCAGTTGGCTTCCTTTTTCCCAAAAAAAACTAATAATGTCACGGCAATGCACCCACGATTTTCTCGGGAAATTCATTAAAATGTATAAAAGTTTTCCGTGTTTGTGGCAAGTGAAAAATAAAGACTATAGTGACCGTAATGAAAAAACGTCGCGTTATGATAATCTTATAAAAAATACAAAGAAATAGACCCGATGGCAAATAAAGAGACAAAAAAAATAAACTTCTCGAATCGAAATGAAATTCAAGGTCAGATTGAAAAAGCAAAAAAGCATCATTTTGCGCACAAAGCGAAACGTGTACACTCATATTCAGACAAGACGTCCGATCTTGACTCAGTTCACGAGTAGCTCCACTTCAGTTGGCTTCCTTTTTCCCAAAAAAAAAACTAATAATGTCGCGGTAATGCACCCACGGTTTTCTCGGGAAATTCATTAAAATGTATAAAAGTTTTCCGTGTTTGTGGCAAGTGAAAAATAAAGACTATAGTGACCGTAATGAAAAAACGTCGCGTTATGATAATCGTATAAAAAAATACAAATAAATAGACTCGATGGCAAATAAAGAGACAAAAAAAATAAACTCGTTGAGATCGGCTTACAAAAGGTGAGGGTATCATAAATCCCTGTTACTAACTGATAGACTGAGGTGTCCATTCGCAGATAATTGCGCCAGCCATCAGGTTCGCTCCTCAGTTGTTTCAATAACGAGACGTGGCAATACTGGCTTCTTTTTAGAAGCCACTCCCTTGACCATCTTGTCTTTTCCCTCTTCATCCCTTTTTCTCTCAGTCGTTGTATCCTTATAGTTGAAAAAATAAAAGAAAGCAGCCGTGTTCCCTACATACAAAAAAAATGTCTCTCAAAAAAATTCACTAAAAAAACTTCACATACGAGTAACTCAAGAATCTAGATTGGAACTGTAGTAGAAAGCGGAAGGGTAAACACGTAGTGTGTGTACACTGGACAAAACGTACGTTTTGTATGCCCGAAGAAACGTACAATAAGACGTAGCGTGTAAACCCACCTTTAAGCTGCATATGGACGTACGTTTTGAGACTGATAGGCGAGAGATTTGCAAACACCTCATCTTCTAAAGATTAGGTTGTCAACTCCATGTTTCATCAGTTAATGCACAGTATGTTTGACAATAATCATATGGGTACTTTTCTCTTCTGCTCATCCTTTTAAAATGAAGGATTATCTCAGTTTGCTGGAGTGAACCACTAGTAAACGGTAATTTTTCAGTTCTTCATCAACTTTTCATAATTGAATAATGTTTACTTCTCTATCTCTACTTTTGCCCACCAGTATATTGCGAACGCGAAGTATTTGGTTGCACGTCTGCCCCTTTTCCAGCTCTAAATGTGTGCATCTGACTTCAGCCTCCCATCCTAACCGTGTCGAGCCTCTCACATCAGAAACTGACCGATACGACCGCTCATTTCTCCCTAGAATATGGAGATTGTGGAACAATCTTGATGAAGAGAATTTCTCAAGTTCATTTAAGCTCCTCCTGGCATTTAGGCTCCTGCTGCTTGGGTGTAAACAAAATCACGTTTCATCCCTGTCTTTGGCAACACTGTAAATGGGTCATGCACTCTCTTTCCTTTTCATCCCTTCATAAAATAAAAATTTGCACGAAGCTATACAACGATCCTGCCGGCATTTTTAAAATCCATTAGTATGGGATTTACGCAAAGAAATTTAAATCTTCATTAATGCATTTCAACACCTGTGAATTTGTACTTTTCACGTTTTATTGATTTTTCTCTGTGCGTTTTTTTAAGTACATTGTCCTGAAATAGAATATCAATGTTGTATTGTATTGAGTTTTGTAGTTCATGCAATATTCTGGTATCACTTCCCAATGAAGGAAATAAACATTTTCGAAAGCTTGACGACAAACTTTCTTTCCGACCTTCTGATATTCGATTACCTTACGGCTGCAAACTTCAGGAGTTTTCCATTTTGCATCTTAACTAGACTCCCTTTTTCGGCAATATGGGGACAAACATTATCTTGTTTTCAAGAGTATGAAGAAATGGTAAAACACGAGGTCTCTCAGATATATCTTGTGCGGTCATTCGATTTATGCCTGAGAATAGCTTAGGTAATCTATTTAGACATAAAAGGAACTTTGCTTCACTCTGTAGATAGACCAGATAAGGCCTAAC